GAAAAGGTATCAGAACTTTTACAGAACAACAATTAGACAAACAGGCATACAGATTCTATGTAACTACATTGAATTCACAAACAACCTACAGTTACACTGTCTAACAAACAAACAAAGGGGAATTACATTTTTACTCAGCATTCACACACATATATATTCAGTCATCCTCATTCATACATCACTATTTTACCATTCTTCTGCTGTGAAGAGTATATCTTGCAAATCTGTCAATGCACAGTTCCAAAACTCCTTTCCCTAAGCACAATGCCAGGAATCAGATCCCTGTTTTTCATACAGAAGAACCTGACTCCCTGCACAAAAGCCAAAACTCCAAAATCGCACTCCTTCCTCTTCCCTTGAGAAAAGGAAGACAAGTGTACAGACTTCTGCTTTCCATGGTAGATCTGACACGCCCCGTACATCATCTCTCTCGAGCATGGCGGGGGAACACCGTTGCGGTCTAATGAAGTCAATACGGACTTTAGGAGGGTCTCCCCAGTAAGAGAGACCCCTAGGACTGCTCCAAACAGGGCCCATGACCTTGGCGAGCCATCAGAGAAGCCTGATTCCAGCAATTTTATTAATATTAATAATTGAAATGAGACTCTTGCCAAGGCGAAGAAGAAGCATCGAGGTTTAATGAGTGAGTCAGCTGAAGCGGATGCAATTGCAGTGATCATTCACATGCAAGCATATCAGTACATTGATCAGAGGCATATTTATAGCAAAATACAGGTTTGAAAGTTTCAAAACTCCCTCCCTCTTCGGCTCCTTAGCAAATCAGGGAGAGGGAGGCAGGACGGAAGAGGGACATTGTGTCCAGAGAGGATGATGACATTCCACTGTCCTGTGCCCGAGGGATCAGCCAGCCAAGGAAACTAGTTTTTTTTTTTGTTCTTGTGATGGATCAGTGATTAGGGATAATCATTTGGTTCAGGTTTTCCCCTTCCAGGATCAGATAAGGTAAAAGCTGAGGCTGACAAGGATGTTTGTTGTGAAGGAAAACTTGGCAGAGGAAATCACAGTCTGATGATCCCCTCCTAAAGTCAAATAGTAACTCCYGGTCCCATTGTTCWGATATGAGTTCCAAGTAAATAGGTGTTTTTGTGATTRCTAATTGCCTTTTCAGCCCAGCGGGCTGCTCCCTGATCAGCCTCCCAAAGGGCAAAAGAGTTCATGGCTGGGTCAGACTTGTGAAGGAAATACATAGAAGYAAAGTATARAGAAATTGTAGGAAATTCATATCKATCARCCCTTCTCCATCCCACCCACCAGAGAAATMTAATAAAGAAATTATTTTCAAGCAATGTGAYTCCATAGRTKARTTTGAYGGAAGTRCARGAGRGGGAAAGATGTCCTTGTGAGTCCAAAACYTTAGGCAGAGCTGCCACGRTGGGATRGAAGCTGGTCCCTGGGAAACTACAACTCTCATGAAGGGCAGAAGTCCCAAGATCCAGCCATTCCCCAAAAGCCTCGTGGGGTCCTTGTTGTTGTCAGTGCCTTGGTAATGTGACTAAGACTTAACCCCTATTGTGTAGTCCGGTGCCCTTGCCCTTTGCAGAACTATAAGTCACTTTCCCTTATTTGGGGGGGGGGGTGCTCAACATCACTATCACAATTTTTGGATTGTAATAAGGTCTCTTATATAGCAATATTTTTTACTGATGTTGTTCTAAAGTTGTAAATGAATGATATTTTAAATCCTGAAACATCCTGGCATCCATCTCAGCTTCCTGCCAGATGTTGATTCTTCTTAATTGGTGTTAGCAAAGGAGCCTTGTGTCGACTTCCTTCTTAATGTAAGGAACTTCATAATCATTTCCTTAATGTAAAAAGCCATTGTCTCGGATTAATGTAAACACGTTTTTCCCCAAAAGTTCCACAGTTAATCATTGTCACAGATCTTATTAATGCCAGCAGCTCAGCAACTTTTAATTACAGTTCCTGAGTGTAGTTGTTTTCCAGGCCTCCAATCCTCAGAGTTGGTGTCTCCAAAATTATTAGCTTTCATTCATTCATTCCTTTCATTCAGTTCATTCAAACCATACATCACATTTCGTCATGACATTTGTGTGTATGTCTGAAAGAGAGAGAGAGAGAGAGAACATGGTTTGATACAGTTGGTGAAAGTGCCACCAGAGTATGGAGTTCTAAACTAGATTGCTCCCATGCGATCAGATCTTTTGTTCCATAAATAACTCTAAGTAACAACACATACTTCAGAGGTGCTAGAGGTCATACATCTCACATAACATTCATCATATGTCTTGCCTTACTAATACTTGCCCCATCTCACAGCTTGAATAAAATAAATCCTTGTGACCTATAGCTAAGTCGTACTACCTAACAGAAGTTGACTTCAGCCAACCACACAGAAATTTCTGCTTCCTGTTCTCATTCTATCAAAACACGCTGAAATAGGGAAGAAAATGATGAAAATGATTGTTCGAAGCATTGTGAAGCCATGAGATGAATAATGATGTCTTTTACTGAAACACAACACCCATATTCAAGCTATATTGGTTAATAACTTGGGGTGCATTTAGAATTAATGTAATCTGACATCATTTTAACTGGCATGGCTCAAACTATGAAGTCCTGGAATTCGTAGATTGGTAAATGTCAGCACTCTGGCAGAGAAGGCAAAAGGCCTTGTAAAACTACAGCTGCCATGATTGCATAGCATTGAGTCATAGCAGTTAAAATGGTATCAAGCTGTATTAATTCCATAGAGCAGATGCATACTGAGTTTCTCTGAAGATACCCACTGCATTATATGATAGTACAAAGAATATTGGATGACTCTCAGGCCTCATCTATACTGCCATATAAACCAGTTTCTGAATCCAGATTGTCTGCGTTGAACTGGATTGTATAGCAGTATAGATCCAGCCTCAGAAAAGTTCAGAAAAAAAGTGGTTGTCAAACAATACTGGTCTAACTTGTCTGGTGAGTTTTTCTAATTTATTTTCCCCCAGCAGTATAAACCATCTGTGTACTCAAGACTGAGAAGGAACATTTGAGGAAAATATGTCAAGCTAAGTATGTGTTGCTAGGCACTCCTTATGTAAAATATTCCTAAATAGAGAATGACAGCTCCATTGAAAGTTTGATCTTTTTTACTTGCTATTATTATACCCAAGATCTGAAGACCTATCAGACATGCTCTGCGTGTCCAGGGTGGATTCAAGCTTGAATTTTGTGCAATAGCAGTCTTAAGTGCGGCTGACGGGGAGCTCTGGCGTGGGCTAGTCTATGAGATCACGAAAAGTCGGAAGCGACTGAACAAATAAACAACAAGTCTTAGGTGGCATGTACATTGTAGAATCAATGCAATTTGATCCCACTTTAACTGCTGTGCTGCAATGCTGTGGCATTATGGGAGGTGCAGTTTGAGAGTTTTTTTTGTGTCAAGAGCGACTTGAGAAACTGCAAGTCGCTTCTGGTGTGAGAGAATTTGCTGTCTGCAAGGACATTGCCCAGGGGATGCCCAGATGTTTTGATGTTTTACCATCCTTGTGGGAGGCTGCTCTCATGTCCCCACATGGGGAGCTGGAGCTGACAGAGGGAGCTCATCTGCGCTCTCCCCAGATTCGAATTCCAACCTGTCGGCACAAAGGTTTAACTCATTGGTGAGACACCACCACTGTTTTGCAAACAAGGCTAAAAATCTTGTAGAATTACAACTCCTGTGAATTCATATCATTGAGCTACAACAATTAAAGTTATCTAATAGAAGGTCCAAAATATAAACAAAGTCACGATAAAATATTTCGAAAAATAAAGTTGTAACAACCACCCATGATTGCAATACAAAGAATGTTCTGTTTATTAAATAGGATCACGTTCAAGTGTTAGTCCCAACGAATCAGAAGAGGAGGAAAAAGCTGTATCCCAGCTCCAGGGCGCACCTTCTTCCACCTGTTTGACACTTTTAACATCACACTTACCTTTTTGATCTCCAACTGGTCTTGACAGCGACACATTTTCCCTACCCTGAAATTACCTTGGTGCAAAAGGACATTCCTATCATAGTCATGTGTTCATTATATCAGATTACTGTAGGTCACACAACCACAAGTGGCGGTGTGTTTTTCTTATATAGATATGAGGATCACAAATCCACGAATCTATATATACCAATAGCTTTTATTGTTTTCCTAGTGTGTACACTTTCCCTTCTGTAATCCCATGACCTCCCCATCCTGTGTATGTGTGTATATAAATGTGTGAGAGTGGAAAATTAAACACCCTTTTCCCCACCCCTCTGCCTTTCCAGTTCCTTTGAAGCCTTCTGCTTGATTTTTCCATTGACAAACATGATCTTATTTATTAAACCCAAGCTTCTTTGTATTGCAGTCATTGTTGATAATTAAAAACGTATTGATCATCATAGATTATAGCAAAACTATTAAGATTCAGGGATTGTGGGAATTCAGTGAAAAGGACTTTATGCTGCTTCATGTATAGGTTGGTAAAGGTTTTCCCCTAACATTAAGTCCAGTTGTGGCTGAGTCTGGGGGTTAGTGCTCATCTCCATTTCTAAGCTGAAGAGCCAGCGTTGTCCATAGACACCTCTAAGGTCATGTGGGCAGCATGAGTGCATGGAGCACCATTACCTTCCTGCGGGAGCGGTACCTATTGCTCTACTTACATTTGCATGTTTTCCAACTGCTAGGTTGGCAGAAGCTGGGGCTAACAGCGGGAGCTCACCCCACTCCCCGGATTCAAACCAGTAAGCTTTCGGTCAGCAAGTTCAGTAACTCAGCAGTTTAACCCACTGCGCCACCGGAGGCGGGCCTTTAAAAACTCTAAAATCAGGACACTAAATAAAGAGCAACACTCAGAAAACAGGGGAATTCCAGACAGGAAACAATCTGGGTCAGCTCACACCTCCCAACAAAAGATTTCCCCCAAGCAGGAACCGGCTGAACCAGGGGCTCCTATACATATGTGTGTGTGTGTGTGTGTGTGTCAAAAATAATACAGACTAAAACGCAATGACGGACACCATTTCTCTCCTCAAAGGTGTGACATGTTTCAGGGTTTGGGGTTGTTGCCAAGTTTGGATGCGTCTACACTAAAGAATGAATGCAGTTTGGAACCACTTCAAGGGCCCTGGCTCAATGCTACGAAATCCTGGGATTTGTAATTTAGGGAGGAATGAGCACTCTTTTAATACAGGAGAATAAACACTTTGCAAAACAATAATTCCCATTATTCCATAGCATTGCACCTCAACAACTGAAGTTGTTTCAAACTGCATTAATTATACAATGCAGATATACCAGGCATGGGCAAACTTTGGCCCTCCAGGTGTTTTTGGACTACAACTCCCACAAT